TTTAAGTCTCCGCACTGTCGCTCGATCTTCAGATAGTTCCTGACTATGTAACTGAACTTCTCCAGGCCGAGGGACTGACAACCTCAAATTCTACGACTTTAAGGGTGATGGACTGATTACATCGTCTTCACATCTCTACTGTTCCTGCCTACTTTCTGTATTCGACTGAAGAAGCCTACTGTGTAGGCGAAACGTTTCGGAATAAAGTTGCCTAACTGTTGCATATGTGTCTTACCTAACAACCTGTCGGTATTGTATACCATTTTGATGTTCATCTTGTCAGACACTGCAACACGTGGCATCTTGGTACAGAAAACACCTTGGACAAGCTTTTCAAGTGAGAAGGGTTGGATCTGAGAGGGACATGACCTCTCAGTGGCCTCTCACTACTACTAATACTACTACTACTACTACTACCCTGCACCTCTCCTTCCGACAGTATTTAAGTCTCCGCACTGTCGCTCGATCTTCAGATAGTTCCTGACTATGGAACTGAACTTCTCCAGGCCGAGGGACTGACAACCTCAAATTCTACGACTTTAAGGGTGATGGACTGATTACATCGTCTTCACATCTCTACTGTTCCTGCCTACTTTCTGTATTCGACTGAAGAAGCCTACTGTGTAGGCGAAACGTTTCGGAATAAAGTTGCCTAACTGTTGCATATGTGTCTTACCTAACAACCAGTAATTACTTTATTATTGTTTCTTGGGTTTTGTTTTACTTTACAAGTGTAAATAATATACCATTGGTTCTTTTGTTTTATTTTTATTCATCTCCAAAAGTAGTTTTTTTTAACTGACTTATGGTCATGTGACCCTTATAGGTTTAGCGCTTTTTTTTATTATAACTCATGTGACCCTTATAGGTTTAGCGCTTTTTTTTATTATAACTCATGTGGCCCTTATAGGTTTAGTGCTTTTTTTTATTATAACTCATGTGACCCTTATAGGTTTAGCGCTTTTTTTATTATAACTCGTGTGGCCCTTATAGGTTTAGTGCTTTTTTTTATTATAACTCATGTGACCCTTATAGGTTTAGCACTTTTTTTATTATAACTCATGTGACCCTTATAGGTTTAGCGCTTTTTTTTATTATAACTCATGTGACCCTTATAGGTTTAGTGCTTTTTTTATTATAACTCATGTGACCCTTATAGGTTTAGCGCTTTTTTTATTATAACTCGTGTGGCCCTTATAGGTTTAGTGCTTTTTTTTATTATAACTCATGTGGCCCTTATAGGTTTAGTGCTTTTTTTATTATAACTCATGTGACCCTTATAGGTTTAGTGCTTTTTTTATTATAACTCATGTGGCCCTTATAGGTTTAGTGCTTTTTTTATTATAACTCATGTGACCCTTATAGGTTTAGCGCTTTTTTTATTATAACTCATGTGACCCTTATAGGTTTAGTGCTTTTTTTATTATAACTCGTGTGGCCCTTATAGGTTTAGTGCTTTTTTTATTATAACTCATGTGACCCTTATAGGTTTAGCGCTTTTTTTTATTTTAACTCATGTGACCCTTATAGGTTTAGCGCTTTTTTTTATTATAACTCATGTGACCCTTATAGGTTTAGTGCTTTTTTTATTATAACTCATGTGACCCTTATAGGTTTAGCGCTTTTTTTTATTATAACTCATGTGACCCTTATAGGTTTAGTGCTTTTTTTTATTATAACTCATGTGGCCCTTATAGGTTTAGTGCTTTTTTTATTATAACTCATGTGGCCCTTATAGGTTTAGTGTTTTTTTTATTATAACTCATATGGCCCTTATAGGTTTAGTGCTTTTTTTATTATAACTCATATGGCCCTTATAGGTTTAGTGCTTTTTTTATTATAACTCATATGGCCCTTATAGGTTTAGTGCTTTTTTTATTATAACTCATATGGCCCTTATAGGTTTAGTGCTTTTTTTATTATAACTCGTGTGGCCCTTATAGGTTTAGTGCTTTTTTATTATAACTCATGTGCCCCTTACAGGTTTATTGCTTTTTTTATTAAAACAAAAGTTCTGTTCATTGAAGAACTTAATATTACATTAGTTTTGTATTTAATACAGTTGCGTATACTGTACCATTTTTTTCCGTTTTGAGTTTCATTGTTCATTATTCTTTGTATTTCATTTTTTCCATTTAGTTTACATTATAAAAAAAATACGTATAAGGTTTTGGTCTAACTTCTAATTGAATTTTCGATATTATTGTTTTCCAAATTTCTGTTCAAGTATTGTCTTAGTATAGCATGTAAGTATACCGCAATTTGGAGAGGAATCGTTCAATAATATTTTCTTCTTCCTTCGGCCATGTATTGTCTCAGGACGGACTGAAATGTCTAAAATTTTCTGTCTAAAATTGTTAGTTGTGAAGCGTATTGTAATTCTTGTATGTACATAATTGTATATTACTTTCTTTCTCGTGATGGGTTTGGTAAGTTTGTGACCTGCGACACTTTCTTGGGGCTCAGAGCGATTTTTTCGGTAATTATGCAGCACTTGTTAGTAAAAACAAAAATTTCCAGTTGTATGAAATTTCTCAGGTTTAAAAATTTCCCAAGTGTAAAAATTTCCCAGATGCAAAAAATTTCCCAGGTGTAAAAATTTCCCAGATGTAAAAATTTCCCAGGTATAAAAATTTCCCAGGTGTAAAAATTTCCCAGGTGTAAAAATTTCCCAGGTATAAAAATTTCCCAGGTATAAAAATTTCCCAGGTATAAAAATTTCCCAGGTGTAAAAATTTCCCAGGTGTAAAAATTTCCCAGGTATAAAAATTTCCCAGGTATAAAAATTTCCCAGGTGTAAAAATTTCCCAGGTGTAAAAATTTCCCAAGTGTAAAAATTTCCCAGATGCAAAAAATTTCCCAGGTATAAAAATTTCCCCGATGTAAAAAATTTCCCAGGTGTGATTTTTGTGTCATTGTTGTACAATAAAAACATTGTTTTATATTTTCTTTATATCTTTTCCTTGTAATACATTATTTCCTTTAACATTTCTTTAATTGCATGTGTGTGTTTCATATCTTTGCAAAAAAAAAAAACAATCTTTCCCAGGTGTGCGTGAAATTGCGCATTTTAATTATCATCTATGCTCAAATGGAGAGTTTTTTACTCTGTTATTGCACTGGAATATTGAATTACGGTACTGAGGTGATGTATGGGGTCGGGTTGATTTGTGCAAGCAAAGTGAAAGGAAATTAATTACACCTACCATCCAACTTACGACCTGCTCGACTTACGACCTGCTCGACTTATGACCTGCTCGACTTACGACCTGCTCGACTTACGACCTGCTCGACTTACGACCTGCTCGACTTACGACCTGCTCGACTTACGACCTGCTCGACTTACAACCTGCTCGACTTACGACCTGCTCGACTTATGACCTGCTCGACTTAGGACCTGCTCGACTTACGACCACTCGACTTACGACCTGCTCGACTTACGACCTGCTCGACTTAGGACCTGCTCGACTTACGACCTGCTCGACTTACGACCTGCTCGACTTACAACCTGCTCGACTTACGACCTGCTCGACTTAGGACCTGCTCGACTTAGGACCTGCTCGACTTAGGACCTGCTCGACTTACGACCTGCTCGACTTATGACCTGCTCGACTTACGACCTGCTCGACTTACGACCTGCTCGACTTACGACCTGCTCGACTTACGACCGTGTTTTTTATGCCAAATTTCTGGGAAATAAACAAGTATTTGTGTTGTACACAGTGTTTATCCTAAACCTTACAGTATAAAATACAGTACTAACAACATAAAAAGTAAAGTAAAACATGAAATACCAAAATAAAACAATAAAATAAAGTCATTACAAAAATGGTTCGACTTATGACCATTTCGACTTACGACCGGTTTCTCGGAACCGAACTCGGTCGTAAGTCGGATGGTAGGTGTATTTTATTATTAAAAACAAACTTAAAAGTACGTATAATTTTTTTTATTCAATTCGTTCTTGCATTTTGAAATTTGAACAGATTTTGCAAAAATGTTATTGAAAGTTTTGTTACAAATGCTATAAAATTTCTACAGTATCCCGAGTACATTGGTATTTTATCCAAAGAAAAGCCGATGCAGTTTAAATGCCATCACACTGAGAATCCATAAGGAACATCTTGTAGCATATACTGCAAAGAAGCATTTTTAACCCTTAAACGGTCCAAACAGATCGACGTTCAAATTCGTAGCTACAAAAGTAGATCTACTTTTTTTTTTACATATTTTCAAATATAACAAAAAAAAGTGTAGATAAAAGTTTTTTTTTTTTTTTTTTTTTTTTTTTTTTTTTTTTTTTACACATTTTCAATAGCCCTTGTGGCTTAGCGCTTCTTTTTTGATTATAATAATAATAATACACATTTTCAAATGTAAAACAAAAAAGACCTACATTTTTTTACATACTTTCAGATGTTGAAAAAACGTATATATACGTTTGGACCGTTTAAGGGTTAATATAATGCTCCACCTCTGTAGTTTCTGTATCGTTTCCAGTGACACATGCTTAAAATTCTCCATGCGAGTATAATACAGGCGCTCCTTGATTACGATGATGTTGCGTTCTGATGAACCCATCGTATATTGAAAATATTTTTAGTCGAATATAAATATGATAAGTAAATAAATACTGTCAGTAAGTAAATAAACAAATAATTACTCTAAATACCAATGTTGAAAAGTCGATAAATGAACATAAATGTACAGTATTGTGCAATAAGTGGAACCATCGTAAAGCAAGGAGCATCTGTAGTTAGTGTTGTGACAGTTTTATGAGGCGACTTCTAAATGGAAAATGTATAATTTCTTGTTATAGCTTTGTGTTGTAACTTTGTGTGCAATATGGTTTAACTGGTGTCTTTTATGCATTAGGTTGTACGTAGGTGGATTAAATTGGCTGTAGTTTTCCCTAGGGCAATACTAACACATAACATCTGTTACTAATTTTAATTCCATTAACTGCACGTTTCATAAAAATGTCCCCTTTTCAGAAACGTGCAAAAATGACCTCTAAGAAATCCTCGGATGCAAGTAAACGAGAGGTACTAACCAGAGTTATAGTGCATGTGCTTGCCCTATCCGGTGGTGGTGATAATGGGGGCTTTCCATACCTGTTTATAAAAACACATTTTCCTTAATGCTTTCATACAGTATATACTGTATATGAGTACTTCAAAGAGACCAGAGTACCTGTACATTGTCCATTTTATCTTAGACCTTAACGTAGTGTATTTATAACCCATATTAGTACCGATCATTGTATCAAAGTACAGGGAGGCCCCACTTTACAGCACTGCTTTACAGCGCTTCGCTAATGCAGCAGCTTTCGGTTATACCCATTCTTCACTTATTTAGACTTTCTACAATAAATCCATTCACCATTTGCTATAAACTAAGTATGAAAATATTTTAGGGTAATTAATGTGTGTACAGTAAATGCTTGTAGATCAATGGTTCAGAGAACCGACACGTTGATAAATTAGATTCTCCTTTGTATGGACTGATGAAGCCACTGTGTGGTGAAACGTTTCCTCAATAAAGATACCCAAGAGTTGCACATGTGTCTAATTTATCACAGTAAGTCCTTGACTTACCAACACGTTGAGAATCTTCTGTATTGTGTATGTCATTATTGTGTATAATATCATTATTATATATTATTATACACAGTACAGAAGGTTCACAAGTTGAAGACTTCCTGTATTATGAATATTATACACAATACAGGTCCCCAACGTGTTCATAAGTTGAGGACTTCCTGTACGTATTATGAATATTATACATAACTCAGGAGCCCCCCCCCCCCGATGTGTTTGTAAGTCAAGGACTTACTGCACTGTACTGTACATACATTTTTTATTGCCCACTTAATATATGACAGTGTGAGCATTTATCAGGCTTTTATATCCATTGGAAAGTGAAAAAAGACTGTTTACCTTTACATCAATGTTTACTTTACAGCAGTTGCCCGGAACCTGACTTGCTGTATAAGTGAGACCCTCCTGTACTCTGGTTTAGTCCATGTTATTAGTCAGTAGCTATTTCTTACCTTAACTAGAATGTATCTGCTTAATTTTAGCATTAGTTTGCCTATTTATTGTGGTGATCGCTCCCTTAACCAAAATAATGAGGAAATTTTAATTACCTGCGTACGGTGAAAATAATTGGCTCGAAGAACCGGCTAGTATGACTGAGATACTTGTAAACAAGTGTCTCAGTTATCGACCTATGTAGATATTTTTAGTCAATTCTTGACCTGGTTTGATAGAATTATTCTTATGGGTTTAGCTCTTAATTTGATTATAATAATAATAATATAATAATTGATATACAGTGGACCCCCGCATAACGATATTAATCCGTTCATGAGAGCTCATTGTTATGCGAAATTATCGTTATGCGAATGAATTTTCCCCATAAGAAATAATGGAAATCAAATTAATCCGTGCAAGACACCCAAAAGTATGAAAAAAAATTTTTACCACATGAAATATACATTTTCCTACACACAAAGAGAAGGATACATGCACAATAGTAGAGTAGTACATGCACAATATATATTGTGCATGTACTACTCTACTAAATGAAGAATAAATGACACTTACCTTTATTGAAGATGCAGCAATGACTGATGAAACACTGTGTCCTGGGAGTGCCTTTTTCCTCCTGAGTACTGTAGGTCCTGTTTGGCATTTTCTCCAGAACAGGCCTTATCACACTGTGTATGCCACTATGATTCTTACATCTCTCAAACCAACCTTTGCTGGCTTTAAATTCACCAATATGAGCACTAGTTCCAGGCGTTTTTCCCTGTTCACCTGGGTGTTAGTCGACTGGTGTGGGTTGCATCCTGGGAGACAAGATTAAGGACCCCAATGGAAATAAGTTAGTCTTCGATGACACACTTTTTTGGGTTATCCTGGGTGGCTAACCCTCTGGGGTTAATTGTTTCTTGGTATTCTCAATAAGCCACACCAACAATGGTGCTACAGCAGCAGCAGCAGCAGCAGCTGACAGTGCTACAGCAGCAGCTGACAGTGCTACAGCAGCAGCAGACAACGCTACAGCAGCAGCAGACAATGCTACAGCAGCAGCAGACAGTACTACAACAGCAGCAGCAGCAGCAGCTGATGGTGGTACAGCAGCAGCAGCAGCTGACAGTGCTACAGCAGCAGCTGACAGTGCTACAGCAGCAGCTGACAGTGCTACAGCAGCAGCAGACGGTACTACAGCAGCAGCAGCAGCAGACGGTACTACAGCAGCAGCGCAGGGGGTTTGCTACGCACAGCCAGCTGACAGTGCTACAGGCCAGCACAGTGACAGGGCAGCAACACAGCCTGACAGTGTACAGCGAAAGCAGCGACTACAGCAGCAGCAACGATGCTACGCAGCAGCAGAAAGGGGGTACCAGCAGCAGCAGCGGGGGGCAAGGTTTACACAGCACAGCACAGTGACGGGGGTACAGCGCACAGCAGCGAGGGTGCTACGCGCAGCACAGCTACGGTGCTACAGCAGCAGCATGAACAGGTACAGCACAGCGCGCTGACAAGGCAGCAGAAACCCCCGGACATGCACAGCGCACAACGATCTACAGCACAGCAGACGATGACCACAGAAAGGGGTATTACAGCAGAGCAGAGATGTTTTTTTACAGCAGCAGAAAGGGTACTACAGCAGCAGCAACGGTCTAACACACACACACTAAAGGGGTACAGCACATGAGGGTGGTACAGCAGCCGGAGGGTGGACAGCAGCAGCAGCAGCTAGGGGCACAGCAGGCAGCTGACAGTGCTACAGCACAGCAGCAGCTGACAGGCCAGCAGCAGAAAGCTACATGCTACAGCGCAGCAGAATGCTACAGCACAGCAGACGATGTACAGCAGCAGCGAGGGGTTTACAGCCCCGCAGACGATGCACAGCCAGCAGAGGGTACTACAGCGCAGCAGGGGTACTCACGCAGCAGAGGGTAAAAACCGGCAGCAGTGCCCTGGTACAGCACACGACGGTGGTACGCAGACTGACGGTGGTACAGCACAGCGCAGCTGAGGGGCTGCAGCACAGCACTGACAGGGCTACAGAGCGCACACTGACAGTGCACGCAGCCAGCATAGCATTGACCATGGCCACAGTATTTCAAAATATTTCTCACCCTTTTTACCACAGGGTTGCACTAAAGCTTTTTGGGGCCCATGGTCACTTTTTTTGCAGATAAAATCACAAAAACACTGTAATAATACGAAATGTTACGATTGTATGCTTGTGTTACCCCGGGGGCTGGCTTGTAAAAAATCCACCGGCGGAAAAATGTACTGGGTCGGCCGCACATTAGACCCTCTCGGGCGAACAGCGCGAGGGGTTTTTTACGTTTCGAGGGAAAAACTTGCGATTTTAAAAATTTTCGTATAGGATTTAACATTTTGTAAGGCCAACGGAAAAGCGGGGGTCCCCTGTAATTTTAATTTGGTTATTTTACATGAACTTTGTTTAACATGATGGCTTTAAAAAAGTAAGAAATTCCACACTTCTTTAAGTTTTGACCAGAAAGTTTTTAGCTCACTTAAAAACAGCCAAAAAACTAATAAAAAATCAGTATTGTTAAATCATCGTTGGGCCAAGTCAATTCACGGGTCTTTTTTTTTTGAAAGTGTTCAGTACAAGTTCCCCCATTTAAAAACCCCCAAAAGGTCCCCAAGCGGCTCTACTTCACATTTTATGCTTCAAAAGTAGACTTTGTTTTTTTTTCATATTTTCAAATATAACAAAAAAAAAAATAATCAAAGTTTTTTTTCCTTTTCAAATGTAAAAAACAAAAAAAGTCTACTTTTTTCATACTTTCAAAGTTTAAAAAAACGATTATACGTTTGGTCCGTTTACGGGTTTTTAAAAAGGGTTACATTCCCACAACCGTCGTTCAAAAAAAGTGTCAGATAAATAAGCTAAAAAATAAGTAAATAAATTACGCTGTCACTGAATTAGTAAAGAAATATTTAATGTAACTAACAAAAAGTACCATGTTTAAAAATAAATTAATGAATCAAATTTTGGGACTTGCCCCCTTCACCTGGGTAATTATCTTAAGTTTCATCTCCAAAATAAAAC